GCAAAGGGCAAACATACCCTCTTAATGAACCGGCAGTTCTCAGCAAGCTGTATCATGCTGTCGTTGGTGATCAAGCGGCAGCCAGAAATGTTGAGACCCTGTAACCTCTTGCAGTGCTCGGCGATGGTTTGGATAGAGACGTCTGTGATGTGCTCGTCACCCGAGATATCAAGGGCAAGCAACGAGGAGCTGTTTTCCACCAACTTGGTCAAGCCCTGGTCGGTGAGGTTGCGGCAGTTGGTCAGGGTGAGTCGCTCGACACGAGTGCACACGGACAGAGGCATGACACTGCCATCGCTGATCTTATCTGCGAGACCACCGGCAGCAAGGTTGAGACGCTTGATGAAGTCGCGGTATGCGAAGAAGGGCGTCTCAAGTTGCAGAGTAAGGCAAATGGACGAGTGATTCTTCCAGTTTGTGCAGGCGGGGCGATGCCACAGCAAGTCGACGGAGTTCTTAGCCCATCGCTTGCATGTCAACATGCAGTTGAAGAGGTCGTTTGAGTTGTTGAGCTTGGCGAAGATGGAGATGAGGATCTCGCTAGGGAGCCGGTTGACGGCGGGTTGGCACGGATCGTCGCTAACCTGCATGTCCTCGATGTTGGGGACGCCGAGCGATGATTGCGAATCGTTGCCGGCGATGAAGAAGTCTGACTCCTCGTTGTCGGCAGGGAGTGGCGAGTTTGTGGACGACGAGGATCGTGAGTCCGGCGTGGCTGACTGGGTAGCCATGATCTCTATTGAGGGGGCAGCGGGCCTCATGATGGGCGGCTACGATGTGCGAGCAAGGGAGCAAACGGTCGGCGGATCGTGGATTCGCGTGAATTCGGTCAGAGGAGAGGGAAAGGGGGTTCGGATCCCCGGTCGGATAAAGTTCGTTGGCGACGGCAGGCGATCTCGAGTCGTGAGTCGTAAGTCGTAGGCGCCGTTGGTGGTTTTGTCGTCGTGATGTAATTTGTAGGGTTGTCGGGTTTCGTCAGGTTGACAGAAAGAATGGCGGGGATTTGTCACCAGAGCGAGGGTTGGAAAGGCGAACTAGTTCCCACGAGGCCGATGGAACACTGGAATACTGACACTGACGCCTGACCCACGGGAGGTGGAAATGGAGAGGCTCCGACAGTGGAGGGGGGGAGCCGGGACAAGGAGACAGGCTGACGCTACGTCTGTTGTGAGCCCGGTACCTCTGGTGCGTGTACTTTGTAGTGTTGTGTATCCGTATGTGTCGAATACTGCCTCAGCATATAAACGGGGGATGGCAGTACGGAGTATGGGCTGTACAGGAGTAAGTACCCGTGCTATGGCGTTTTGTGGTGCAGGGCAGGGCGCGGAAGCTATTTTGTGCGACGGAACGGAGTGCCAAGGCAACGGAGAGAAAGAGAAGAGAGTGTTCGTAGCAGACGAGATTGCTAGGGAGAGACGAGGGTTATTGTCGGAGACGGCGGGTAGAGGAATAGAATTGTATCTCTCAATTGGGATAAGTTGATCTGAAGTCGTGTCGTCGATGGGAGCAGACTCGTGAGGGAGAGAAAGATCAGGTTGAGAGTTCGCGTCGCGAGACAAGAGAAACTGAAAGGTAACCACGGGGCACAGGGTCGTTGGGTGGCAGTAGATGGTGCGTGGGCTGCGGGTGCGGTTGCGTTTGCGGTGAATCGTGATTCAGGTCTTGCGGCACCGTCTTTCTCCCTGTTTCTGCCGCAGTGAAGCAAAGCAAAGCAAAGCAAGCAGGAGCGCCTGAGATGATGCCGTGCTATGCTGTGCTGTGCTGAGCAGTGGGCAGCTCGTGGTGGCAGCGACAGTGACCGACAGGGCGGGTGACAATGACGACGGGGCGAGTGAGGCTAGAGCACCTTGAGCGGCCGTGGTCGCAGGCTCGCAGCTTGTGGGCGGGCGTTCGCGCGTGAGGTGGACTCTGTGTGTGCTGTATTATCCCAGCGAAATGTTAGCAGTGACTTTGGAGCTGTGGAGAAAGGGAGCGGAGGGAGGAGGTGACACCCCTGGGGCCTTAGGCCTTGGGCTCTCGGAGGGTTGGCTGGGCGGCGGCTGGGCTGGAAGTGGAAACTATGGGACAGAGGGCTGGGGCCTGGGATGCGTGTAGGTACCTTGCTTTTGGGTGGTGCGGGAGGCAGGTCTCTGGTGCTCAATGTGTGTCGCCTGCTGCGCGGAGCTATTGATGGCGAGGCGGAAGGAGGAGGCTGACGGCTGGTGGTAGGCCGGGAACCTGCGATGCAATGCGATGCGGTGCGATGCGCGGCAACTGGTCGAGCAACGAAGTTGACGATGTGATGTGCTGCTGCTGCTGCTGCTGCGAATACTATTGTATAGGCTCCGGGGCAGGCGGTACTTGTTGGGCTTCGTTTTGTAGCACTTGCAAGGGCCAACTTTAGACTCTTTGGAGACTGGAGTAGGTATCCGTAGAATAGAATCCAAAGGGTGTCGGATCGAGCCGGTCAAGTTCTCCGGGGCGTGAGCGTGAGCGTGGGCGTAGGCGTAGGCGTAGGCGTCATGAGGTAAGGCTGGCGGGAAAGCCAACGTCGACGCGTGACCTGCTCTTGTGCTTTGCGGTTGCCGTTCTCTTCAGTGTTGGGTATTTCTGATCTTTCCCGCTTTTCGCCCTTTGTTCTTTTTCTGCTGATGTTGATTTGATTGCAGAGTCCGAGCAGAAAAGGATGCTTGACTTTGTTGAAGCAGGAAGAAACAGCAGCAATGCGAAGAGTCGCAGTCAACTGGGGGATGTACCGATGTTCTCATGTATCAATGTACTTCGTACCGCCAAATGGAGGAAGCTGTGCACCTTGGGAAGGACGAGACGGGACCAGGACAAGGGGCCCGGGAAGGAACAACAGAGGGGTCGTCAAAGTACTTGTCCACATGATTACAGTGCCTCGCTACTTCAGTACGTCTTCCCTTCTCATCGAGGTTGACACCATCTCTCATTGGCCGACAGCACACCAGGGCCTGAGGTTGCGAGGTGATGATGATTCTCGAGGTACTTTATTTTACAGATACCTCAATAAGAAATACACATGGTTTCTTTGTAGACTTTGGACTCCTGCTCCCGTATTTGCTGAACTTCTGGCTCCTCAACATAAGAACAAACTCGAAACCAGACCACGGGAGACGAGACGATATCCCCGACGTGGGAGCGTGGGGCGCTATCAATGGAACATCCCGCTTTCCCAAGGAGCCATGCGTTAATGCGAGGGCAAAGGTACCTACCTTACCTTACAGATACTTACTTGTTGCCCACAGAAGTACTGGAGGGCACTGAGTCACATATTCACAACGTATCAACCAGTCATTTTTACTACCTTATGTAGTAGATAGAGAAAGATGGGGAACGTGAAAAGAACATCCGTCTGCGAACCGAATGTCGTACAGCGCGCGTTCATGTACGTAGTACGGATACATAAACCACCTACTTGATGGCAGGCAAAGCGGTACTTGAGTCTCGCTTAAACTTGACCCAACCTGCAACATAACTCAATCTGGCAAAGTATACTCTAAAAAAAAAAAAAAAAAGGTACGTTCCACTTGCCACGGAAATCACTCGATGAATTGCATTATCGCACTTCGCGCCAACTCCACCAAAATAAGCCCATGGCATTTACAATTGCACAAATGGTCCGGGCAAGGGACACTGAAGCTGTCGCTTGTACCGGACGCTACGTCAAGAACGGAATGGTCTTCAGCCTCTGGCACGTCTTGTCAGTCCCTCTCATTAACAGAGTTTTGGCTGCGTGTACTTTGCAGTGCTACCTGGAATCGCGGCATTCTTTCTCGAAATTCGACTAATTACTCTTTCCTTTGTCTTCAGCTCTCTCTGGGCCGAGTTGTGAGTTCAGAATGAGATGCCAAGCCGTAACCAAATTTCGCCAACCCTATGATGACAAAGATGATCATCCCCGAGAAGGAAATGCCTCCAAAAATGTTGGCAAATATTCGAAATACGGTATTGCCATCAATGTAACGTCGGCACTCTGGAGCATAGCAAGAAACATGGCGACTTGAGCTTGTGGGCCAACCTGCATGAATACATCCAACCTAATCTCGTTGCCCTGACGTCGGGGACTATCTAGCAACTGACAGCAACCCTCAAAAGCTACCTGTATCTCGAGTCGCAATGCTGCCGCTCTCGCCCTTCGCCTCTCGGAGACCAAATCTTCAGCAGATACCCGTGGCGCCATCTTCATCCACGCTCAGACTTGAGCTCGAGCTTCGTCTTCAGGGCACCCAATCTCCATTCCTGCATCCCGGGGCACAGACGCGGCCCCCCATACATTGTGCCAATGTGCCATTGTCTTGACCTGACATCGTTGTCCCCCTTTCCCAATGTGCTCTCAATGACGGTCTCTGGAAATTTGCCATCCACCCTCCCTGCCTTATGAGACGGGATGTCAGGGCCTCGGATGCTCGACTGTAATGCGGTCCGCTCCCAAGACAGGCTAGACAGGCTAGACAGCTTTCCCTGGCCTAGCTTGTTGTTGCTGTTTCGCGAGATACCCTTTTTGGGTTTCCATCTTGGCTTCTTCCTCGATGCTCTTTACACTTCAGCACAAGGATGTTGAACACGTCGGGACCAATGTCGTTGGTCTACACAGTACCTGATACCGTTTCACTCCCGACCACCCCGGCCTCCAGGAGCATCTTGCCACCTGGATCATCCCTGTCTTGATACTTACAATCCGGAGGGCAAACAGAATCTTGCAGCAACTGCTTCAAAGCATGACGGCCGCAAGATCACTCGTTCAATCACATTGGTCTGGCGGCATGTCCCGCATGTCACCTGCAAGCATTGTAAAGGAAGACGTCGGACGTCGGGGATCGGTGACTACGATCGCCGAGTTCGCGTCTTCGGTGTGTAGGCCGCGTCGTTGAGTTTCTTCGTCCGTGGTGTTGAGCCTTGGATACGGGAAGAGTTAGTGGGTGCCAAGCCGGCTTAGACGAGCTTCCACGGCTTTTGGCTTTTGGGATTCAGCTTCTGCGCTCACATACGAAGAGTACCTAGTGAGAGTTTGCAATTGTCGACACCAGACGCTGCCTTTCTCCCATCGTCATACCATACTGAAGGGCAGATGGGTACTCGGTCAACAAGGCTCCCGGGTACCCGAGTTCACAGACCAAGAGACACGAGGCATGGTGGGGTAGGCCGATTGAGTTGGGAATAATGAATGCTCCCGCAGTGGACAAGAATAGCAACCCCCTCCCGTACCAAAGACCCAAAGACAACGTGTGCAGGGTCTGCGGGAGAGGATAAGACGTCGAGGACGACCAGCCTGGCTCGGTCTCACTCCATTCGTCATTGAGACGGGCATCAGCAAAGCCCTGCATTGGGTGAGGTTGAATTGGCTTCACCTGGTTGGCGGTGTTGGATGAGCTTAGGTACTTGACAGGAATGTCAGATTGCGTGGTCTTCACCATCACAACGGCGCAGTCGAGGCACTTCCATGGTCTAGCCATCTGCGAGGCCTGCATGCAAGACAGACGCACACTTCAAGTGACAACCTACAGCGTGTGTGAGTGAGCGGCGGCTTCGCGGCCCAGCGTGATACCGTCACGATCCTGGACGCCATCACGCGTGGGCGCTTAGACGGCCACAGACGAGCGACCACTCAGCTTCGCCCATTTAACATTTCTGGATCACAGACGTGCAACCCTGTTGTGATGTAATGGTGGTCTCTGAGCGCAGAACCCTGGAAGTCTTAGCACCAAGGCATCGCAGAATCGGCTGTCATTTCTATCGACAGACTAGATCCTTATGCTTCGTTGCTGCGTCTATAACCACCGTTACCGCATCCAGACCCTTTTAATGTTACAGATGAGCAGATGCATGTGCCATGTCAGATTGCATTCAACATCTTAGTTCCAGCCATTCCCAACTCCGTTCGGGACATGGACATTTCCATGGTCCTATGGGCGGATAGAATGGAACAATCAGGATAGCAACATGGCTCAGTCCAGCCTTCGAGCCGCAGCAAATCAACCTTTACCTTGCAGATGTCGCAGATACTATGAGTAGATGCAACTGCTGCTGTCTCCTCGTTTGTGTCCAGAGACTGCGATCTGAGGCGGAGGGGCGGAGGTGGAGGCGGAGTCGGAAGACATCCGCACAGACCACAGCCAAAACTGAGGGTTGCCGCAGTACGTATCTCTTCCTTACCTAAGCGAGACGGGGAATGCCGGCACGTGACGACTTCCGGCAGGACGTCATTCGGAGGGGCCGATTATGCGCCGGGCCACTCAGGTGCCTCGCTCGCTGACGTGCTGCAATTTCTCAGGGCATTGGGGGCATTGGATCCAATGGGGAGAGCTCCAATTGCCATGCAGTTCCATTGACACTGACGATTCCCGATTACGAGCCTCACGTCACGATCAGACTCTCACCCATTGCCTTTGCAGCTCGCCAGTCTGTGCAAACGAATTGGCCAAATTACACCTGTCCGCATGACCAGGCCATGAATCGTCCTGTCCGACCGGCACCGAGCTCGAATTAGCAAGCCCGGGTCTACAGTCCAAGGTACTGCACCATTGACGGCTGTCCCCGCCCGAACATCCCGCGCCATCTGAAGAATCTCGAATCTCCATCAGGCCACTTCCCATTATCGACTATCGTTCCTCCACACGGTCCATAGTACCGAGTGACCTCTACCACTTCAACCACAGGCGCACTCTCGCTCGTCGCCGACACGACTCACACACATATTCGCACACCTAATACTCAGATTCACGCCCTCTGCCCCAATGTTCCGCCCACGCACTCTCCGGGCACTGCCCAGGGGTCTGCCGCACCCGCAGCCGCCCGTCCGAACTAGTCGCCGCACCCTCTTCTCTCGCCAGCGCAGCTCGCCGTCTCACCCCGTCGAGCGCTTCAACCTCGGCCAGCTCAGCGAAGCCCGCTCAAGCTACGACCGTGACCGCACATACTTCCTCGCCGCCGGTGCTCTCGCCGGCATCGTCTCCTTTGCATACACGGCCAACAAGCTCCGCAAGGCCCTCGCCGCAGAGAAGAAGCGTAACGCCGCGGAGGACGGCGAGAGCAGCCACAATGGCAGCAGCAGCAGCAACACCAGCGAGCGCGCTGGCTTCCAGCTCGATTCTTCCGTGCCGGCAGAGACCTTCACAACCGAGGCCGGCACCAAGCGCAAGGTCGTCATTCACGACGAAGAGGGAAGAGAGCTCGTACCGACAGGCAACAAGACGGTGCCCAGCTTCCCGCGGACCATCGACCTCTCCCTAAGCAAGACCCACCGCGACCCGGAAGCGCCCATCGCCGCGACGGTGCAGGACACGGATGGCGTAGAATACACCCTCGTCGGCCTCGGCATCCGAACCGTCAGCTTCCTCAGCATCCAGGTATACATGGTGGGCTATTATGTCGCCACCCAGGACGTCGCGAAGTTGCAGCACTATCTTACCAAGAAGATCAACCCCATCGCGACGACGCTGGTCCCCTCGGAGCGCGACAGCCTCAAGCAGAAGCTGTTTGACCCCGTCGAGGGCGAGGAGACTTGGACAGCGCTGTTGCAGGAGGTCGGCACCCGCAGCGCGTTCCGCATTGTTCCTGTGCGCGATACCGATTTCCCTCACCTCCGCGACGGATTCGTGCGGGCCATCACGGCGCGGTCGTCTGCTGATAAAGAGGCGTATGGAGATGAAGGGTTCGGCGAGGCGATGAAGGAGTTCAAGAGGCTGTTTAACCGCGGCAAGGTGCAGAAGAACAAGGAGCTGTTGCTCTGCCGTGATGAGAAGGGCCAGCTTGAGGTCGTTTTTGACGATGGCCGGAGCATGGGCAGGCAGAGCGTCGGCAGGGTGCAGGATGAGCGCGTGTCGAGGCTGTTGTGGCTCAACTGGCTTGCGGGCAGCAAGGTCGCTTCGCCGCCGGCGAGGGAGAGCATTATCGACGGCGTCATGGAGTTTGTCGAGAGGCCAGTAGGTACCGTTGCCGCGCAGGTTGTGTAAAAAATGGGAGTGGAGAGAAATTTGTAGAACTAGTCGAAAATAGTCACGGCTCAAAATGTACAACACACTAGAACGAGGTCCTCGCCAAGAGATAGGCCACCGCCATCTCTTGAAAGCTTGTATTTCGAGACTCTAAGCACCCATCTTTATGCCTTTAAGCCCATGGTATATCATCCACCATTCTCACTCCCATCGGGTTGAACAATCGTGCAGCAACAGCTACAGCTTGGACGGCCTTGAAGAGAGTATCGCGACCGTCAGCGTGCTCTGTGCTGTAGGCATTCTCCGACCAATGTCTAATCAAACACACAATGTTTGCCCCCTTCTTTCTGTCTTTCTCTCTGAACCGAGGACGAAACTGGGTGCCTTACGCCTTGAGAGCGCCGGCCTCCTTGAGAAGGTTCTCGAGCTTGCCGCCCTTGAGCAGGCCCTGCAGGTCCGAGTTGCCGCCAATGTGCTTCTGGGCGATGAAGCTGTTGGGGACGGTGCGCTGGCCGGTGATCTCGTGGAGGGCGTCCTGGATGGCGCTGCCGTCGTCTGTATTGGTGTTAGTACGCTGTCGTGAGGTATGCGTATAGGGTAGAAAACGTACCAATCTGGTCGAGCTCGAGGACGGTGTAGTCGGCGTTGATCTCGTCGAGGACCGACTTTGTTGCGCGGCAGTAGGGGCAGTAGGACTTTGAAAAGACGACGACCTTGTTGTCGTCGATGAGGGACTGAACCTTTTGCTTGGTGGCGGCCATGTTTGCTGGTGATGTCGAGGATGAGGAGAAGAGACGTCTGAATAGTGATGCCATTTCGGAGGGAGGAGAGTGGTGGGAGGAGGGGCAGGGGCGATGATATAATAAATGCAGCAGGCGACGGGGAGGGACAGAAGGTGGGGGGTTATTTGTCAGGCAAAAGTGTCGCAATGCAGCAGGTAGGGGCGGGGTGCTGGGTGCTGGTGCTGTGCTGGAGCTGGATGCGGTTCACATCAGCTTAGGGAGTTGCGACGGGACGGGACTTGCAGTGAGGGAAAGGCAATTCGGGGCCGAAGGCGGCGGGAATGGATGATGCAATCGGGGCTCTGATTACCTAAGTAAGACTGTGAGGTTCTGGACTCGCTGGAATTCTGGTGGACAGCAAAAGCCGAGTTTTCTAGAAGGTGGAGGTATCGAAGTTTAGTGTATCCGTACAACCGTGGTGTGGCTTCCAGATTTCTATACCTTCGGGAGCAAAGACCCGATTTATGAGACACCGGCTCTCCCGAGGTTCACCTGCCTCGGCGTGTTACACCTTCTAGGTACCCGTAGGTGTACTGAGGTTTGTCAGCTTCGTTCGGGTTCTTGAGAGACACCTGTCGACAGTGAGATTCCACACCGGAGATGATTTGATGACCTCGGCCAAAAAGAGAGATGCGAAGAGGCTAATTCAAAATGGGCAATGAGCTCACCTCAGCACCGAATAGCAAATGGAGGGATCAGAGACAGGCTTGTGCCTCAAGTCTGCGGGTACTGCTAAGCTTGCGAAGTTGGGTCCGCTTGTCGTGAGATGAGGTAAGCAATCAGATAACCGCATTGGGATAAGGATAAGATAAAGACAAGAGGACCCTGGATTTTGGTGCACCTCACGTTTTTGTCCGTAAGGTACCTTCATGAACACCACCATCTTTTCGTGGATAATTGGAACATGAATGCACCCAAGATTCCACATGGGAGGCTGAGGCTATCACAAGTCGGGGGATCGATCTATCCGCATCACCCACAATTATTACCCGCGTCTAGCGCCTGACCGCATCCTCGGGCACCCTTCCAGCGCAGCACACGTCTTGAGGTTCATGATGACTGGTACATGGCAGGTAAATGGGTCAAGGTTGTGGACGGCGTATGGCTGCTGGGTTGGGTTTGAAAGTCAGACTGGATTCCCGGGCCCCCTGCAAATATCGGCTGCTCGCCGAATCGCAGCCAATTGCTGTTTCCGCCTGCCCCATTTCTCGTCGTGCAGAGAAGCCTCAAGGACTGGTGACAGTTACCTAAGTATTTGCAAACACCAAGCCATTCTCAAGCAGGCTTCGTGTCCTCTTTGCCGCAGTTTTGCCTGGACAAGAAACTATTTGAAAGCTTCAAGAACCGGTCCATCTCGACCTGCTATCCAACCCGTTGCCAGTTAGAGAAGCCCTTGATTGCATTATTTACAAAGGTACGTGTATCTACCTTACCTTGATACCTAGCTCGAAGCGCAGAAAGGACCCGTGGCACCGTCTTTCGGCCCGGCCAATGACACCGGGTCCTCCCTCGGCGCGCACCCCCGTCATTCGCTGCCTTTGCGACTTGCCCGGTTTTTTCTAGAACCTCCCCTCCACATCCACTTCCACGCTTCACCAACACGCAACCTTACGCAACACCATCTCTCCCGACCACTCACCTCTCGCCGTCGTCTCCAACTTTCTGCCGTCATCCTCTCCGAGTCCCGTAGGGCCACCTTTGACACACCTCACGCAGACCACACTCACCCAGAACCGGACACTCGTCGCATCCCTGCCCGCCGCCCTCATCATCGCTTCTTCGCCCATCCACCACCACGACCCCAAAATCTGACAGCGCATTGCCTTCTTTCCAGTCCTGCTTCTACAGCCTCACCAAAGCCAACGAGCCACCACCTGGATCCTTGACCCAGGCTGGTGATCATCCACACCAGTTGGAGCCGGATCGAAACTCTCGACGACCCCAAGCAGCCAAGCATCCGAATCGAACAGAAGAGAACAGCTCGTTCTTTATCTTTATTTTATTTCCATTTACCCCACTGCTTTTGCAGCCTTCTACTCTCTTGGTGCTGCTGCATTGTGTCGACTCCTTTCCCTTCCAAGGACCTTACTAGAGCCTGCGCCGTAGTGTACGACCTGCCTTGCTGCAGAACGGCCTGATCTTCGAACCCCGCGAGTCGGAAAATTCCAGACGAGGGCATCCCCACGGCACCCGACGCCAACGATCAACAATTCACACCATCCGCCACGATACCAATCACTGCTGTCGCCTTCGACCTTGCCTCACTTCACCTCTTCTCTCCTCCACCCCCTCCCCCTCCCTCTCATCCACTTTTTTCTCTCTCCCGGTTCAGCGTCCTTAGCTTTAAGGACCGCCTACTCCCGCCAAGGTGGCTTCCAGTCAGCCTCTTTTGGCATCTTCTGGTGCACTCCAAAACATCACCGCCTTGTTACCCACCACCCTCCAGGTCTATCTCGACAAGTCCATCGCCAGCCTAGCCAAAGCTATCGCCAACTACTCCGGCTACATCTCCGACACCACCGGCATCGATCCGAACCTCATCCTATACTCCACCATTGGCTGCATCCTGCTCGCAGTCCCCTTCACCATGTCTCGATACGGCTGGTCGACAAATCGGGAACAAATATCCCCTTACGGCTCCACCCTCAGCGGTGTCCCCGACGTTACGGACGAAGACTTTAGCTACATCACTACGGAGGACTTGCAGTCAACCTCTCTTGGTAGCTCCGTCCCGACGAGATCCTACGCCCACAACCCCCGCTCCCGTGGCAGCGTCCCCGACGACGACATTCTCCTCATCAAGAACAAGGGCATCACCTACCCCGCCCACTTCCCCGCGTATGCCATTGGCGACGGCAAGCTGCGCGTTCGCGATGTCCGGGACCGTGTCAGCGTCTTGTTGGAGCTGTCCGAGAGACGTGGGCGCCGTGTCAAGCTTCTTTACAAGGGCCGCCAGCTCAAGGAGCCGGCTGCGCCCGTCCGGGATTATGGTGTCAAGAACAACAGCGAAGTCATGGTGGTGCTGCCCGAGGGCGAGGTCGACGCCGAGAGCAGTGACGACTCGGACGAGGAAATGGTGGTTGTAGGCGGCGATGGCGGCAGTGCTGTGGGCAGCAACGGCGGCACCGATGACGGAAAGAAGCGTCGCGGCAAGAAGAAGGGCCGCAAGTCCAAGAAGCGAAGCAGCAACACCAGCCCGCGGGACAGCGCGTCAAATCTCGGTGTCCCGGGTCAGGAGAGACAAAGCTCGCCGTCTCCCAGCAAGGCTAGCGGGCCCCATGCCAAGCTCGATGCCATTGCCGCGAAATTCGAGGCGGATCTGCGCCAGCCTTGCGAGGACTACATCGCCTCGCCCCCGACAGATCCCAAGAAGAGAGAGGAGGAGCACCGCAAGCTATCTGAGACGACGATGCAGCATGTGCTTCTGAAGCTTGACGAGGTTGAGACGGAGGGCGACCAGGAGGCCAGAATGAAGAGGAAGGCCTTGGTTCAGACCGTACAGGATGTCCTGAAGCGCCTTGACGCGAGGCTCAAGGCATAAAAGAAGCGAATTAGGGCGTCATTGAGGGTGCCTGCTGTTTCTGCAATACGTTTGTTTACTAATAACGGCCTACTTCCGTTGAGTTCTTCTAGATGAGCATTTGTGGGGGGTTTCTATTCAGTCGAGCTACATGTTTTATCAAAGCGAGATTTGCATCTAGAGGCATGCCGCGTAGAACGGCGGATGCGACGGTGTTAGGGACAGCTCGAGATGGGATGCTGTACTACGATAGCCATCACTTGAACAGAAGATGACGCTAGGCATTGGGGAGCAGAGACGACGGGCAGAGGCAGAGACAGAGGAGACAGAGAGGCGCATAGCACGCCGTAGACAGGAATTGCAAAACAACCCAAGTTTACTGGGATCTTCACTCCATCTATTGCGCACATGATGCATACGAGCACAGCCTACCAGTCCTGGACCTGGAACAGGATCTTGGAATAGCAGCATTCTGTCATTGAAGCAGGGCTGCAGCGTGACGTTGTCGACGAGGTCCGGTTATGGGGATATCCCGGTCTCCCATTGAACAATTGTGCCATGCTTGACGTCGTTGGCTTAGTCAACGGGTGTCCTTATCTCATGTGACAGAGAGGTCGTTATCGATTAATCCGGTATCGGGAATCACTTCCTGCCCGGGCGGCTTGGGGACCCGGAGAGAGGCCTGGTGAATGGAAGTGGGCAGTGACAGACGTGGGCAAGGTGAGTCGTGGATTGGGGTCTGGCCACCAGCAGACGCCCCGCCAATGGAAGCACACCGAGGTGGACCCTCATTGTGAATCAAGGTGAGTCAGCAGAAGCCCAACGCTGTGGGCACTGAGAGCGCTGAGAGGATGCGAGCCTTCTGGTAGGTCTTCCCAGCCCTAAGCTACCTTGTGCCCCACTTCCAACCCTCGCTTGTGATGGAGACTGCCTTGCCGTAAAGGGCTAGTGTCTTTCATTTTCCAGGCGTGCCATTGGGGGGTTTTGTGTGTGCGTGTGTAAATTTCTCACTGACCTGTCCCCTTCCCAGTTGTGTGCCCGCCCCGATTTCAAGATTGTCGCGACGGCTTCTTCCAAAACTCACCCTCCGACAATACTAACCCAACGGCAGCAGACCAAATCTCTACAGAGGCACCCATTCCGCCCAGAGATTTGAATCCCCCTTTTCCTTCTTTTTTTTCAGCAGAACACCGCGAACCGGTGTTTTTCAAGGAACAGGAACGATGTCTTCTTTCGAGCCGGTGGTGAGTCTTTACCGAATTATCGTTACGGTTCCATTTCGAGATGTGGGATCAGCGGAATATCGACGATGAGGGTTTTCGGGATGTTTGTTGGAGCGAGGAACACCAAGCGATAGGACAATGGCACTTGACTGCAGCCCGGCCTTCACGTCAACGCTGCTTTCGCTATTTCAGCTCGCCGCCGCTGTTGCCGTCAATGCTTCAACAATCATTCCCGAATTTCCTCATCGGTCGACCGCGAACACTTCTTTGGAGATGCAGATCGCTGACTCCAGTCTTCTCTACAGGTCGTCATCGACGGCAAGGGCCATCTCCTTGGTCGTCTTGCCTCCATCGTCGCCAAGCAGCTTCTCAACGGCCAGAAGATCGTCGTTGTCCGCACCGAGGCCCTCAACATCTCTGGCGAGTTCTTCCGTGCCAAGCGTACGTCGACTCTCTCTCAACCCTACCCTCCACCGGTCGCAACACCCAGTCTGTCAAAAGAGGAGGAAAAGATGTTGGAAACACACGAAGACTTGCGGTGCCGACAACCCCAACCGATCGAACAGATACTGATGAATGGCTTTAGTCAAGTACCACGCCTACCTGCGCAAGATGACCCGTTACAACCCGACTCGCGGTGGTAAGCCAACACACATACATACATACACATCCGGGCTCTGCTCTGTCTCCTAGCTGAGATACTCAACTCGAGGACATTCAAATGTCTGACTTGACCGCAATAGGTCCCTTCCACTTCCGCGCCCCGTCGCGTATCTTCTACAAGACCGTCCGTGGCATGATCCCCCACAAGACTGCTCGCGGTGCCGCCGCTCTTGAGCGCCTCAAGGTCTTCGAGGGTGTTCCCCCTCCCTACGACAAGCAGAAGAAGATGGTCGTCCCCCAGGCCCTCCGTGTCCTGAGACTGCAGCCCGGCCGCAAGTTCTGCACCGTTGGCCGTCTCTCCCACGAGGTCGGCTGGAAGTACCAGGACGTCGTTGCCAGGTATGTTCACACCACGGACCAAGCCCTGGGTATCTCAGTACTGACAACTCCACAGACTCGAGGAGCGCCGCAAGGCCAAGGGTGCTGCCTACTACGAGCGCAAGAAGGTCGCTCAGCGCCAGCTCACCGACGCGAAGAAGAACGCCAAGGTCGACCAGAAGACGGCGCAGGCCCTCGAGGCCTTCGGCTACTAAACGTAGTCGACAAATCCCTTTCCGACGTTGATTGTTCTTGGACCCGGCCCTGTCTTGCGGGAAATGGAGGAGGAGAGGAGGAAGGGCTTTATCCCCGTTGAGCCGCCACCATACCCACCACCAACACCCACCCGATAGTTCGACCAAAGATGAAAAGACTCGGAGGGTGATTTCTCGCGCATTTCTGTCCTCTTCCTCGCGTTTCCTCATTAGATTGGCGTGGGCGGTTCACAAGGGAAATTCTTCATTTTGCTGATGGCACAAATGGGCTGGTCATTGGAAGGGGGGGAATTCAAAAATAAGAGATGATTCTGGGAGGCCCAAACGAGAGAGAAGAGAGTTTTTATGGAGTGAGTCCGAAAAGGCTTCGCTTTGCAAAATCATCATCATCCTGTTCAATACCCCCCCGCGCCGCCGTTCTCGGTGTTTTCGGTAAATACGGTTCAACCACCAAAACACACAAATACGCACCAACCAAAAACCCCCTTTTCTCGCAATAAGTCACAACACAAACACTCAATCAAGATGATTCATGTCCATGGGCTTTTTTATGGTGTACTTTGTCTTTTTAATGGTGGTTACCGTAAAAAGATTGGGGGTTTTGGCTTTCTGAATTATATGGGAATTGATATCACACTTCAACAACAACCATCTGATCGATCAATGGCCTTCCCTGTCTCATCCTCTTTGTTTTCAACCTTTTCCCCCCTCCCTGAGGGTTTCCCCCTCAGACGAACAACCAGTAGTCCCAGATGAGGCGATATTCGAAGAAGAGCAGACGGAAATCAGACGAACGAAAAAGAACTATGAAGAAGAAAAGTATACCACGGCATTTGGGAGGGGAACCTTGGCGAGGCGTCTTGTGCTTAGAGAAGTAATTGCATTACAATCATGAAGAGTTCATGTGAAACGATGATATCAAGTGACGATCTCAGTATCCTGATAAAGTAAATGTTGCGATCTCTCTTGCTCAAAGGTCGCGAAAAGGTGAAATGATCGATGACAGAACATTGACGAAAGCAAACTTCCGTTACACTCGAAGGACGGTCCCACGCGCGAACCTTGAGCACTCTCATCTTAGACGCTCATCTTGAATATTTCCACATCCGCGACGGCACTTACTCAACGTGACATGTTCGCGACAAGACGCGTTAGTGTGCCCTATCTTATCCCAAGGGACCCGCCGCCACAACACGGAACCATCTTATCGCCCAAGGGTCCAGCTCGGTGTGCCCCAAAACTCACATGAAGAGTTCAGACTCCTGTGGAAATCGAGGTGCAGGACCTGTTCGCCTGAGTGACAGGCTCTGCTCGTAGACGTGGGTTCCTGCTGCAGCTGCAGTTGATGGACTCCCTACTGAATGACTTACCATGAATCCTTCAGCTGAGGTCATCGAGCGGCCGCCGAGGTCAACCCGCAGGCTGGGAAAGGAAGAGGGCCCTCTTTCGAGGGCGTCTCCCCTTGCGCAGCGCGGTTACGCGCGCACGCTACATATTTGTTTACTAAACCTCGTACCTCAACAACGGGCGATTGGTTTAGTGGTATAATGACCGCTTAGCATGCGGTAGGTCCTGGGTTCGATTCCCAGATCGTCCAATCTTTTGCCTTTCCCAGCGTTTCCCGCATCTTTTGCCAATTGGGGAGGATGACCTGTGATGCAATGGTAATCTGGAATGCTCTTAAGTGAGAATTAAAGCTTGCCGTATCTTTTTGCGTGTATTTGTCCGCTTTTTACTCAGCTGCTCTGAAGGAAGTAGATGTCGTTTGTGCTTGCCATTGCGAGGCTGAGTGGGCTGGGTGTTTGTGTGTGGCCCGTGCTTCGACTTCACGTCAACATCAAGACGCGGCCTCATTTCAATAAGTGCTGTTTCTTCAACATACATCAGAAATTCAGCCATGAGATGAATGAATCTGAGTTTTCAGAGTCAGGTGATCTCAGAGAGGCACAGAAAATTATGCCCAGAGACATAGAAACCGAAATGACACAGAATATTGAAGATTCCACGAATTCTCATTCAAACCCGATAAATAAAGATGTACAAAAAGATGAGTGAGTCACCACGTCAAGTTTAATGTTTGTTCTCTCCGAAAAATTGTTTCTTGATACGTTTAAAATACACTGAAAGACTTTGTTAATCTTTATCGCATGCAGAGAGTTCGAGGAGGCTTCGGCGGTGGTTGCGAAACACGTCAAGCTCCTGCGGGAGTACAACCAGATCAAGGATGTGGGGCAGCAGCTGATGGGTATGGTTGCCGAGAAGAGGGGCGTCACTGTGGGAAGTCTGTATGAGACTCGGGAATTTGGAGTTGAACCGAAGGATTGAGATGGGGATGCGGTGGGTTGAGAGGTGTGTCGCGATAGCGGGTGAAGGAAGTGTGCGGCCGACTATGGCTGATGCTGCGTGCTTGATCAATCAGACACGGTTGATGAGAACCAGAGTGCTCTCGAGACAGTAAGGATGACGTCTACGTCTGACCTAACACCGTTAGAGTCTACCGTGACGTGAGCGTCCAACATTCAGTGCTACATAAGCCTAGTACCATCACTATTTCCGGAGAGTTTCTGAACTCAGAGAAGAGACGTGTAACAATAGGTCAGAAGCAAATTGGGGAATAAGAGGCATAAGAGCAAAGGCAAAACAGAGTTTCAATAGATCGAAGGTGTCTCCGATGGGAAACGAACATACTTCTCCATCCAGTCGTCGCCGTTACCCTCCCGATCTTGATCATCGTGCAGACTGCACATATCAGCCATGCACAATGCGCCATTAGCCTCTGAGCAGGCAGTGCCTGTAATGCCTTGCAAGTCCAGCGTTCCTCCGCCGAAGGACATTTCTGGATTATCAGCCTTGCTGTCTTGGATCGACGTTTCAATCTCTGACGGCAAGGTCAGGTCATCGGGCTTCGCTAGTTCCCACCCAGTTCCGCTTGCTGGCGTCATGATCATATCGGCTCCCACGTCATAAAACTGAGGGCTGTCTTTATACTTATAAGTAATTGACAAGCCGGGAGTAATGGGGATGAGTCCTTTAAAAAAATGACCAGGGTGGTTGCACGCCTCGTCAAACAGCTCCTGATCCGCTCTATTCCATCGTCGAAAGTTACGCAACAACCTTTCAACGGCGGAACGCCCTCGTGCCCGCGCTAACACGACAGCTTTGATGTACTGGAGACGACCGTTTTCTTCAGTTGAGACACCGGAGTCAAGGAGAAGCTGGACGATGTCCAGCCTACCAAACTCTGACGCTCCTTCTAGTGCCGTTCGTGTGAATGATTTTCCACCTGGGATGTTTGGATCTGCACCCCATTCCAGCAATCTTTTCACAGCGCCAAAGAAACCCCTAATAGCTGCCTCTGTCAACGGTGGATTGAAATCAAAGTCCCGATGGTCCTCATTGACATCGGCGCCCATGCTCACAAGAGTCTCCAAGAGGTTGATGTCGCCTGTAATGACAGCAGCTCCAAGGGGTGTTCCACAACCTCTGTCGCTCCGAGACCAGTGTACGGTGTTAATTCCGATTCCAGATGCGAAGTACCAGTCTACAATCGCGGCAGACTTTCCCCGGATTGCTCTTGTCAGAAGAACCCTGTCTAGCATGGCCTCACTTCTTGATAAGAGGGGGAGAAGCGACAAGGCTCGGGAGTTACTATAGACCATAGAGCAATCTATATCAAAACGATGACCATGATGCAATAATCTTGTGACGCAATTAGGTGATGATAAGAGGGCATAGAAAGCTGCCGGCTGCACCAGAAATGGTTCTTCTTTGTCGTTAATTACTTCAAGGTATCGCTTCTCATAGAGTTTCAAAGTGTTTGAGACTTCAGAGGGTGTGTAGTGGGGTTCGAACAACTTGCACATACATCTTGGAAGACCGTAAGTAAGATGTTGAGGGCACAATCCTGTCTCCAGAATTTGACCAGCCACATCATCGATGCCAAGCGTCATTGCGAAACACATCGCTGTGCCCAGCCAATGTTCTTCGCTAGTCGGAATTTGGGTAATTTTGCTCAGCTCCAGGAGCTTGTGAAAAAGGGTCCTGTCAAATGTGTGTTCCGCCATATACACAGCTGCATAGACTGCCCTTGTTGAAAACTTGGTTGCGTCTAGTGAAGCTATTATTTGTAAAGCCAAATGAGAGTTCCGAACCACTATCGCAGCTTCAAGAGGAGACAGCTCATCAGGAAGGCTTGGTGCATTAAGCGAAAGTCCACGGGCAAGTATTTGCCTTGTTGAGGAGACTAGGCGAGCTCGGATCGAAATTGCTAGCTCCTCTCCGAGTAACTTTGCTCCGCTGGAGAGCAGGAACAAGGCATTTTCTTCACTACCGCAAGACAATGCTGCTTGAAGTGCAGTCCTACCCAGTTGGCCAACATACAGGAAATGGTGATAGGCATCCGAGATTCTCACTCCGCGCCTTCGGAGACAGCGAGGGCCTTCGGCATAATCTCCTGCAAAGGGTTGACAGAAGTTGATATCGGCACCGTGATCCAGCAAGAGTTTGATGAGTCTTGGATCGGCACTGACCGCGGCGCATTGAAGTGGCGTGGTGAAAACGGAAGAACCGAAATTGACAACAGGGTTTGATATTGCTCCAAGCTCCAAAAGGCGTTTGCACAATGAATAGTTGTTCCTGGAAGCTGCAACACCTAGGACCGACTCTCCAACATAATTCATGTAGTTGAGGCAGCCTCGGTGCTTGAGAACCCACTCAAAGATGGAGTTACTGCTGGTTTTGATAGAAGTGATGAGAAGTTGAGCAAGTGAGGTAGCACTCTTTAATTTCGTTTCAAAAAATTCCAGGATAAGCTCAGTAGCGGAAGAACGAGTTCTCGACCCAAGTTCGTTTAGCAAGACGCGGGATTCGATATCGTCATTTTCATGGTAACGGTACACAGAAAGTACCCATATCGTCATGGTCCCGAGTTCAGGCTCGCGAACGACTCGGGCTGAGCGAGGCTTTGCTATACAAAGAATCTGAAGCATTTCGAGGTCGACTAAATGACTGTCCGCTCCAAAGTTTATCAGGAGCTCGACCATGGTGATGTCGAGCGTATAGACAGCCCAATGAAGTGCTCTTAGGCAATGATGGCTGAAACTTTCGGATGGAGGTATAGGTAGGCCATTCAGAGGAAGGTCGACATCTATCCCGGCTAAAGCCAGGGACTCGATGGTAGCAAGGTCTGAAGCTAGAACCGCCTTTTCGAAGATCTGACATAATAAAGCCTGGAGACTGATTGGAAGAGTGTTCAATTGGCGTGATACCAGTAATTTCCATGCAGTGATATTCCGAAACATGGTCAAAATTGCTTCGTTGATCATGTCTCGCTCGTCAGGTCCCTCATCTAAGTAGTTGCAGAAACCATTGGATAGAAGAAAGACCATGATTTCCAAGGCATCAGAGTTGGTACACCCGGAAGACGAGCGTTGAATGAGACTAGTGGCTCTGCAAGCATGGTTGTCTGTCGCTCTCTCAGGCATCAGAAGATAAAGGGTCTGAAATGTCTGCTGAAGGATTGGTGTGTAATCCAGTAGTCGTGTTCTTTGTAAGGCAACGCGATCCAGTTCTCTGCCCACAAGACTTGGGGCGGATAGAGAGCAGCTGGTCTGCATAGAGATGTTCATTGTCAAAGCTGCGTCCATGTGAGCAAGCTAGGCCAGATGTCAGGGGGGGCATTGCCTCAAGTTGTATTGCCTCAAGTTGTGACGCAAAGCAAACGTACCTCTTAAGAGTTGCTGGCACTGCAACCAAGGGAGATTCTGTATGGGACAAGAGTATCGAGTTTCTTGCACAGGCGGTGGAGTTCGGATGATGAGTGGAAAGTCCCTAGGTAACGATGGCCTGGGCATGGCTGGGAAACATTCAGTACCTGAGAGGACAGAGCATGGGAGAACCATCCTGGCCATGTTTGATCCATCTCCGAGACATAAGAAGTCGAAAGTGCTTACGTGGTTTGAATTTCTCGACAACTGATGTATGGCAGTGCCGCGCTCTTGCCTTCTCTACCGCCGCAGGTCTTAATGGGATCCCAGAGAGATACAGGCTGGTCTTTTTCCCGCGGCTCAATCGATCACGAATTCGAACATCGACACACTTCCATTGTTGGGCGGTCATGTTCTTGAACATGTGCCATTCCTTGAGTTTCCATTCCAGCTGAGCTTTGCTGTAGGATGATTAGCGCCTCAATTTGTGGTTGCACTATGCATAGGTTCCTCAGTGGTAGAACCTACGATGCGTGAAAATTGTGTATGGTCTTGAGCGCTGTCAAGACGAAGCTTAATGCCATATTCTCCTGCAGGTATAGTCGTCGAATGACAGATCTCACGCGCTCCCATTCTGTCTCGTTGATCACAGGCTGTCGTTGCCGATGAGACATGGCGACAGAAGCAGAGCGCACAGTATACAAGGTCTCTTTGGTAAAAGGAAGATGGAGGCAATGATCTTCCCTGAGTCTTGGCTACGGCATAGAGACAGATCCCATAACGAAATATGAAAAACAACACTCTTCGCTTTCAAGGCGGGCTACTCGAGGTTCAAATATAGAGGCATACAAGGCGGCATGCAGAGCCCACGCGCGACTGCTGATTGGACTGTGCCAAAATCTGATCCAGCTTCACTTCACCCCGCGCGGCGTCAAGCAGGCGTTGGTTTCTGGATAGCTTAGATGTGATTGGGCACTTCCGAAATCTGGTTCGGCGTCAGCCCAACCCCAACCTGGCCACAGCGAGTAGAAGATGCAGGATGAATGCACTTTGATGCTGGTTGGCGCACTTCCTAGAGCCTGCCGAAACAAGTCATGATACTGAATACCTAGATTCATGGTGTAGACGTCTCTCATTGGGCGTTGCCGATTTCTGACTGAACCTCTGTCACTTGTGTTGCTCATCGCAGATTCAGGCATCAGGGACCACCCTTGTCTGTTGTGATTCTTAGACGGGGCGGCTGGAACGTCTCTTGTAGTCTCAACGATCAGGTAGACAAGGTAATAGAGGCTGTGTATAGGTATTACAGTATTACGTGGTATTTCTTAAGCGCACTCCTCGTCGAGCCCCATCTAGGACACGCCTTTCACTGACCACCTATTTGGACAACCAGGCGACAAGCGCGTCATGGAACTCCTCTGGTTGGGAGATCTGAGGCGCGTGACCAAGCGTGGGGAAGGTGTGAAGAGTCGCGTTGGGGATCTGGGCAGCAACAGCAGGGCCGAGAGCAGCAAAGTTGCCCAACTTCGCGGCGACATCGGGAGGAGACCACTGCTTTCCGATGGCGGTGTTGTCCTTCTCGCCGATCATGAGCAGAGTGCGGGGCTTGACTAGAGAGAACTCATAGCTGACGGGCTGCGTGAGGACGAGGTCGACGATTTGGGCCTGGTTGAGCGCGTAGGTGTCGGCCTTGGAGCCCTTGTAGATATTGACCAGCATATTGACCCAGGTGTCATATTCGTCCTTCCACTCTCCGACGTAGTAGGTCGCCTGCTCGTATCCCTTGATAGAGGCGTAGGAGCTGGCGCGCTCCGTCACGTAGTTGTCGTCGATGGGGAGGTAGGGAACGCCGAGCGCCTTGTAGTCCTCGAGGCCGACGGGGTTGACGAGGACCATCTCGTCGACTTCGTCGGGGAACATCAGGCCGTAACGGGTAGTGAGCATACCACCGAGGGAGTGGCCCATGACGGTAGCGCTCTCGATGCCAAGTGTCTTCAAGAGACCGTTGGTGTTGGTCGCGAACTGTTGCAGAGAGAACTGGTAGCGCTCAGGCTTGGATGACTTGCAGAAGCCAATCTGATCCGGGGCAATGACGCGGTAGCCGGACTGAGCGAGGACACGGATAGTGGTCTCCCACGTCGGGCCGCAAAAGTTCTTGCCATGGAAGAGGACGGCAGTTTTTCCATTGGGAGCGCACTTTGGCTTGATGTCCATGAAGGCCATCTCTAGCTCCTGCAGCTGGGAGGTGAACTTGTACAACTTGACGGGCCATGGGTAGGTGAAGTTGGAGCCGTTGAGGTCTTCGGGGAAGGAGTCGGAGTTGTCGTCGATTGTGCCCTGGGCAGATACGAGGGCGACGCCCGCCGCGGCAAGGGCTGTGATGATGGAGAAGACCTTCATTCTGACGAAACTTGGTAGGATTAGCTACGCGGATACTGGGTGAAGTGCCGCATGAGAACTCTCATCATGCGATTGACGATGTGAATAGCCGACGGAGGTGTGTAACAACCAGGTCACCACTGCGACAACCAGACAATCAAAATGAACGAACAAATAGATGAACAAGCGAACAGACTCCTGTTATCATGAAGTTTCAAACAACTTCATTATGAAATGCGATCGCAACAAGACTCTACAAGACCGCATAGACTCGGACTGGCTTCAATTGAGGGATTGACGCGAAGTGAAGCTTACTTACTTAGCAGCGATGACAACTCGAATTCGACTCTACCAGAGATACCCGTTGACCTGAGCAAAGTGCCAACAGCTGGTGCGTGCGAGCAGAAGATCATTTCGCGACTTGTAGCCCAGGATGGGCGCTGTCTGTTTATATTGGGATGGTAGCTCGGACAAGTTGCCGGGAACCAACACGTGTGTTGGAGCACATGGCGGGCATGCAAGGCATGGAATAGCTGCAATATGCACAGAAAAGATGGAGAAGTAAGGGAGGGAGGGCAAGAGGTAGGTAGGGATGGAGGAAGACTGAAGCCGGTCATGACGCCGTGCCTCTTTGGGCCGCACAACTGCGTAGGGTGAGATCCATATTCGATGGCTTCGACACCCTAATCTCCGCTGTCCAGTGGGCCTGGCAGCTTCGGCTCCGCTGGTGAGTATGCCCCGGACGGTGAGGTGGGCTGGCGCCATTTCTTCATGTCGGGTGCTGCGCCGTCCAAGCCGGCCGCTGAGGATACGGCCCGGATCGGTGGCTCAGGCGGGTTTGTTTTGACCTTGTGTCTTGGTTGGCCTGGAAGAGATTCGATACGTCAATGATCTCTGTCTCCATTGGTGTGTGGTCACCGTAGGCTTGGTCACCGATCTATGAGTTACGATAGTAAACATGGCGGATGGACTGGTAACATCGACGGTTGGCTCAGGTAAGGTAGGATCTGACGTCGTTCGCGCAGTTCCAGCGATGACTGGCCTGGGGAAGCATGCTGAGATCATGACGGATAGAACCAGCAGGATTTCAGCCGGGAATAACGAGATCGAAGGACTTTTGCAGGGCCCTGGTCGTCACCAACACGAGTATGGAAGGGGAGGGTATCTCATACAGAAGCATCCTTGTGTGGTGCGGTGGTGCGCGGTTCTGCTGACCCATGCTCTGGGTCTCAAAGGCGTCCACACTCCTTATGGCCTTGATCTTTCTGAGGAGGCGCGGTGTCTGTTCTTATCGACCCGCGATGCGCAGCTGAGGCGACAGAAGATTCGGTGACCGACATGATCGGCGTTGCACAAATCTTTGGTTGCCATCAATGCCAGCCTTCGTCACAATTGCTGCGCCTGAATGAATTCCACAGATGAATTTTCCCGTAATGTTGATGGGGTTGATTTCATTCGTCCGGTCACACATCCCTATCCTTCGTCGCAGACCGGCCGAGATCCTGGTTGGTTGGTGCCATGAAGTGTCGGTCGAACGTCAATAAGGCAGAAGCTATGCTAAAACCGTCGGATTGTGGCTCGTTGCTCGTATTCTATCAACCGTCCGTCGTTACGTATTTGCAAATTTCTCTTCGAGATCTCCGCCATGTTCAGGTGAAAGAACACCAGCCTCTTCTGACTTAGACCGCAGCAACTTCATCTTAAGCTGTTGCTGATGACAGGGATGATTGCATTTTTAGTGCTTCATCCCGGCTATCCGCGGCCAGCGCCAGCGTCCGACCGAAGAACACGGGAGGAGAGGGGAGGGGAAAATCCCTCAGAACTGAGAAGGGTGTCTCGGCCGATGGTACACGGGAGCGTAGCTCGCCAGCTTTCAGGAACAGTACCATTCTGCTGCCGGGATACCATGACACCCATGGTTATCCATTGGATACCTAATTTGACAAGCAGACTTGGGCGCGTGGGATCACGCTCCTTCGATCACTTACAATACTTGTCTAACTCACCAGGATGCCCAAATCGGGAAGGCCTAGCGAAGGAGGATTCTTTGCCCTGAGGCCTGCATATCTTCATCGAAAAGGACTTGGAGAACCACGGAACTTGGGTAATGCCAAGTGCGGTCACTGGAGGAAATCCGCGCAAACCACAACGAACATCGCTGCCCAGAAAGGAAGCTCAGCGCCGTTGACCGAGAGCTCTATCGAGTAACTGCATCATAAGGGTATCTCGGTGGTCAAACCAACGGCTGCCTCATCCGTTTGGGCGAGTTATCTGTTCGCCAAGTTCAGCCAGGATACCACCTCACCTTACACTGAGTGTCGGACACCTCGTCACCATCACTGACCTCGAGTAGTATCGGATGTCAGATCTCAATCGTGGCTGGGTGGTTGCAACGAGAACAGACGGACATCCCACCAAACTGAGTTGACGGGAGCGGGAACCAGAACGGGACGTTGGTGCCAACAGCCCCCAAGCCCGCAAAGCCCCCCTCACATTCTCGCAAAGGGACCACAAGGCGGACGATAATGTGGTGGTGTGGTGACATTAGGGCCCAGAGAACGACGGGCCCCAGGGCGCACAGACGGGCCTCCGGATGCTACGGATGGGCAGGGAACTTTAAACGAACCTGTGATATGGTCGCATGCGACTTCAGTTTACCCAAGATGAACTGCAAGCCACAACGAGAACTCAATGGCAAGTAACATTCCGAAGTGCCCATCGAAGGATTTAGTCAACGCCAAAAGCCGGACTGCGGCGTTACTTATGCGTTGTACAACTCAATAGTGGCGTAGCCTCATGACGAGTTCCAACAAAGATTATTAGCACAAAAAGCCTCTGATGAGTGAGCTGATTTTGTCAGACCAACGAGGCGGAAAGCCATTCAGCTTATCTTATGGGAAGAGGACCACCGGAATCCGCTACAGAACCCCATAAACCCTCCCCGCTCCATCTCATTTGACAGAACACCCGACCATGGATCTGGTGGATGTTGAAGAGTTTGACGAGAAAAAGAAAGCAACGGAATCGATTCCTTCGACATGTGAAACCCTGTCCATTCAGGATCGATGGTACAGAACCATCTGCGCCTCATTTCCCAGCAATCATCAACAACACCCGAGCTGTAGGCATACTGTCCGTCCTTGAAGTACGGTAGAGCCTAACCCAACTGGTATCGCTGTCCGATGCCCATGTCTAGACCTCTTCCTCAATGTGCAAAGATGGAAAGGTAAAAGAGTGACAAAGATGAGAGTGCCTGGATGATCCCGGCTAGGTACATGTTCGTCGGACATCTCTCTTTTGGATTCTCAGGCTGTTCTCTTTCATGCAGGCCTTTTTGTCGAGGGCCATCAATGGTCAATCTCTTCAAGCTTCCGCCTGGTCGGTATGGCATACGTAAGTCCAGGGCATAGAGCCAGATCAAAACATCAGCAAACTTTTACTCGACATTGATCTGAGAACCACAAACGCATTCCTCAGCAATTACCTATACATTCTACCGAAACCAAGACTGCTCCAGAATCAAACGTTTTGTGTGGAAGGCGTTGGGGACGGTCCAGAATTCGATCCTGGCGACGACCACAAAGATGGCGGATGCAGCGACGCATTCATCCACCCTTTGGAGATCACTCTCCTTGTCCCTTGACCTGCGGACAACTGCAAGGAAATAGAGTTCGCTTTCTCTTGGTCGTCTCGCGATCGGTAATCTACTCTACCGGCCGTTTTCTGTCTACATGTACCCGCAGCCCTGGTCTTCCTCCACCTGGCCCCCAAACCCGCGTCCATCACTCGGCGAACCTCATGGTTGGCTATCCACCCTCCTTTCTTGGGAATGGAAACGCATACTGGCAGACGGTTGAGTACTTCTCCGACTACTGCAGTAGTCTGCAGACTGTCACGCCCGTTCCACACCACCCTTCTTCTCAGTCTCGATACAAGGGCGGGCAAGAAAGAGAGTTGCAGACTTGTGCCTGGCGGCAGACATACGCGGGGCACCGTTGTCTCTTCCTGTTCACATACTTTCATGCCGCCCAATGAAATCTCCGCCTTCCCCTTTTCTACTACCGAACCCTTCGGACTTGGGCGGACGGGTTCTCCCTAGTCTAAAGCCACAAACTCTGCACAAGAGAGGTCCGGGCATGAACATATAACGGTTCGTGAGGACCCAGTTGTCGCGGCTCACTGGATTCTCCCTTGATCTGCGTCTACCATTTTCCGATATCCTGGTGTCTTGCCTACAGACCGTTGGCCTCTCGGGGCCCACAACCTCATCAGACCAGCTTGATCTCCTAGAGCTTCAACCTCAAGCACTGCATATTCGCCATGGTCGAGGGTAATATTCCCGGCGAGAGCAATGCGCTCATGGTGCAGGTGCCGGCCATCGTCTTCTTCATACTTACGCCAATCTTCGTGGGCATCCGGTTTTGGTCGAGGATCAAGATGAGATCTGGCCTTGGCTGGGACGACTGGACTATCCTGTTCTCTTTTGTGAGCCTACTCTATAAGACACTCGGTATCATGTTACCTTGCTGACGCTCCCAAGGTCTGCTGCCTGACTGTATCGATATTGATGATGATCTCTTGCGAATATGGGTTTGGGCAGCACATCAGGAACCTGTCAAAACCTAACAAGGCCATGACTTTGCAGGTACGTAGCCGGTAACATATCCAATACCGTGTGGTTGAATTGAGGTGTCATGCAACATCAGTCTAACTGTTGATAGTTGTTCTACGTTGCCCAGATCTTCTACAAGATCACCATCAATCTCACAAAGGCATCGATCTTACTCTTATATCTTCGCATATTCGTCCAGCGGTACTTTCGGATCCTTTGCTACACGCTTCTCAGCATCATCCTGGCCTACATGGTTGCGACCTCGGCTTCTTCGATATGGCAGTGTACCCCTATCCCGAGGGCTTGGGACAAGACTATTCCGGGCACTTGTATCTCGCTCACCATGAACTGGTATGCGAATGCGGGATTCTCTATCGCTACTGATATCCTCATCATGGCACTACCGCAGCACGTCCTGTGGCAGTCGAAACTGCCCCTCAACCAGAAGAGGCTTCTCATGATTGTTTTTGCCCTGGGCCTCTTCGTCACCATCACGAGTATCTTACGAATGACCACGCTGAACTTTTCTACCACAAGCCCGGATACCACTTGTAAGTGATACAATGACTCCAT